TGTGTGCTCTTGCCCTGGGGGCGAGCGCAATTGCCCGGGCCTCGCAGGGTCGGCCCTGGAGGGTGTCCTTGCGTTGATGTTGCACTCCCACTATTAAATAATAATTGTGGTTGATCCCCCCCTCGTGCGAAGTGCTTCCCCCTGGGCTCGCACCCTTTTTGTATCTGGATAAGTCACAAGGCTCAAGTTGTGATCCACAACGGCTCCCGCCGGATACTTCTTCACAATGTATTCCCAAGTCGCGCTCTCGCGTGGGACGTCTTCACAATGTGTATACGAATCGCGCTCTCGCGTGGGACTTGCTCACGGTGTATTCAGACGATGCGCCCTCGGCGCTCAGGAATCACCCTCTCGCTTTGGTTTTTCTCACGATTTACTTGGGTATCGCACTATCGCTCGAGACTTCCTCGCGATTGATGCAGGGCCCACGCATCAGCAACCCGCCTGTTCGACCTGGTCGCCTGGGCCCGCCTTCCCGACCTGCTCGCTACGGGTCTGCACACCGATCTGCCCGTCTGGTTCTGCCACTTGTTTTCTGCTCCTTGCCCCCCTCCTGCTAATTTATCTCGTGCTCCATTCTTCTCCCTCGCTCTTCCACCCGTCTTCTTTTCCCTTGTTTTAGGGGCTGCGCTAAATGCACGTGGCAGATAAGGAAGATCTACCCCCAAGGGGGTAAGATCGAAGACGACGAGGGCGGGTACCGAGGGTTTGGGGTATACGTATTGGTTGGCACGCAAGCAGATAGGAGCGAACAGTCTTAAATTTATTGTTATTGTCGTCGTTGTTGAGAGCGGGTTTCAGACGCCCCCTGGGGAAAGAGAGGGGGAGCGCATCGCATCGCATCGGGGCGGGGGGGGCGCTCCACCTATGAGATTCCTATGGGGCCCCTGGCATTCCTCAAGGGTTCCTGGGGATTCCTGGAGATTCCTTGGCATTCCAGAGGGTTATTTCGGATGTGTGCGGAATTCTTTGGATTTCTAAGGATTCCTGGGGATACCCCAGGATTCATTAAGGATTCGTGAAGATTGCTGAAGGAGTCCTTGGGGAATCCGGAGGTTTTTTGGAGTCCCCCCTTTCTGAGGAGTCTTCCTTTCTCTGCGTATACGTATACGCATATCTCCTTTGATTTGTGGCGCTCCGGCTTTCTCGTCCCCTGATCTCCTGGCTTTACTGCATGCTATAGTACGGACCGCATGCTATTTATTTTCTGTCCTTCATGTTGCGGCGACGTCATCGGCCCCTCGGAGGCTACTGCAACTTCTTGCGATCGCCCCTTCAGGTGGAGCAGCAGCGGATTACCAAGCCCCACCCAATCGAGATCTTGAACGTGATATTGTTGCCGACGCTGAGCATTGTTAACTTGATTCTCCTGCTTCGCAGCAGCATGCACGGCCGGGTCGCGAAGCAAAGCAAAGTGTCTCTTGATGAGCGCTCTGTGCCATACAAGGGCAAGAGAGGAGTGAGACATCCTGGGTTGTCCATCCCCAGTAATTTTTAAACGTTTCGCGTATCCGAACCAGCCCGTCCAGAAATGAGCCCCAGGGGGGTTGAGGTGATGAGGGAAGCGGGGGAGCATGCAGACGAACAAAGGGCGGGGTAAGCCGCCAAATACCCCAAGAGGGGGAGGATGTAGGAGTCGTCGTCGTCGTCGTCGTCGTCGTCGAAGTAGGAGGAGGAAGAGGAGGAGCACGAGGAGGAGCAGGAGCAGGAGGGGGAGGAGGAGGAGGAGGAGGAGGAAGATGAGGAGGAGGAGATGGAGGAGGGCGAGGACGTGGAGGACGAGAAGGAGGAGGAGGAGGAGAAAGAGGAGGAGGAGAGGGAAGGGGGAGGAGGGAGGAGGAAGAAAAAGAGGAGGAGCAGAAGGAGGAGGGGGAGGAGGAGGAGGACAATGGCGAGCTCGGGGGCCTCTTGGGCCGTCTTTGGGGCCTCTTGGCGGTCCTGGGGGCCTCTTGCGTATCTCGGGGAGCCTCTTGGGGCCTCTTGGGGGTCTCTTGGGGCCTCTTGGGGGTCTCTTGGGGGCCTCCTGGGGGCCTCTTGGGGCCATCTTGGGGCAATCTTGGGACCTCTTGGGGCCTCCTGGGCGCTTCTCGGGGCCATCTTGGAGGAGGTCTATCAAAGAAGGGGGGGGGGAATTAGCGTTGCCCCCCCAGGAGGCCAAGATGGTGCCAAAACCTTAGTAAAATCAATGATTTTGCCTTCCTCGCCGAGGCCATCTTGGACGCCCCAACGACCCGCGGACCCCCCCGTCCAAGTCCAGGAGAGGGGGTAGGGGGAGGGGTCAAGTTACCCCCTCCCCGCCCGCAAGCCGTCTCGCTCACTCCCACCCGCCCTCCCAACACATACGTAGCACCCGAGTCTGGCCCGAGCCTCAGCATATTCAGCAGTCGTCTTGGGATGGGCAGCTACTGGGGGCCAATCCGCCGCCGCCGCCTCCGCCGCCGCCCCCCCCCGCCGCCGCCCGCCGCCGCCGCCGCCGCCGCCGCCGCGCCACCGCCGCCGCCGCCACCGCCGCCGCCGCGCCGCCGCCGCCGCCCCCCGCTGCCAAACCGCCGCCGCCGCCGCTGCCGCTGCCGCCACCGCCGCCCGCCGCCGCCGCCGCCGCCCCCCCCGCCGCCGCCGCCGCCGCCGCCGCCGCCGCCCCCGCCCCCGCCGCCGCCGCCGCCGCCGCCGCCGCCGCAGCCGCCGCAGCCGCCGCAGCCACCGCCGCCGCAGCCGCCGCAGCCGCCGCCGCCGCCGCCAAGTGTACTCTGTATTGTTTTTTGACAGGGATGGTGGGGGGGGGCCGCATCGGGTTGGCTGCGCATGTTCCGGTTTTGGAGGCAGAGTGTGTTTTGTATTGTTTTTTACAAAGGATGGTGGGGGGGGGCATGGACCCTGGTTGGCCCCTAGTCGCCTGGGGGAGGGGTGTTCATTAATAGGGAACAGTGATAAACCCCTCCCCGAAGGGGAAGGAGGAGGGGTGGAAGCGGAAACGCTGTAAACCACCGACGCCCAGAGGGTTGGTGGGATTGTTGCTTTAATTGGTTTGACAATTTAGTTGTGACTCGAATCGGGTGTTGTTCAAGGGCTTTACATTGCCTGGGGATGTCGTGATGCGGTGGCGTTCGGAACAGCAGCTGGCGTATGGGAATGGCGCGTTTTAGAGGTCCCATGGTCAGAGAAGTTGAGCGCAGAAGATGGATGTCGAAGTGCGCACCATCAAGCACGGATTTATTTTAGATGCTGCGATGCCATACATCGCATAGGCACTGAGTTGTTTGGATGGCTAGCATATGCATTTCGTAGAGCGCTTGCGCTACGCCATAACGATCTTCATGTGACATTTGCGCATGTCAGATCTGACAGGCTTGGGTGCATGTGTATTGTCAGACATCGGCACTGGGCAACACGGTATACCATTGCATAGCCTTGCATAGCGTAGCCGCGAGCTCCCCGCAGCCAAACGCCACGCGCTTGGCACCCCACAACGTACGCGCATGTCCCATCCTGGGTGGCTCTCGAACTATCCCACCGCATGTCAATCATGGCGCGTTTCAGTCTGGAACGCCTATGTGTGCGGAGGTCGCCGACCCTGTCGACGATGACATTGGAACACATCGCCAGATTGCTTGTTCGTAACATCCGGTGCTCCAATTTTGTCGATATGTGGGACCCGGAGGTTTGGACCCTTTCCCTATAGGGCCAGAGTTTCGTCTTGAGAGGCGCCGAACCAGGCAAATACCGCCCGCTCTAATTTTCTGGGAGCGTCGGATCTCTGGGTACCCAGACATCCTCCAATATGGTGTTTTCAATCCGCGGCCCTAGAGCTCCCGACCCATTCCCCTGGGGGTAAGTGTGCGTCCCACATCCGCTTCTGATTGCCCCGGGGCTCGAGACGAGAACGGGCCCCGGAGGCCGAAATCCAGGAACAACTCCCGAATTGGAAAACAAATCTCCTCGGAGCTCTGGCACACTGGAGACCCGTGCCAAGAAACACCCGGCTCGCCTCCAGGCTCCCCTGGGTTTCTTGGGTTCTGATGGTTTTGCTTTGGAAAGCGCGACGCTCCCGCACCAGAACTCAATGGACGTCCTGGGGTCTCAGGGTTGGGTCTCTTGTGGAAGGTTTCTTGTGGTCGAGCTCCTACTGGAAGAGGAGGTGGGGGGAGGCAGAGTTCCAGGCGGCGCCGCAGCCTGGCGGCCCCGCGCGTAGCTCTTCTGTCTCCCCAGGGTGCTCCAGAGCACTCTCGAGTACTCTTGCGTTCTTTCTCTATAGCTATCTGTAAGTCAGGCAGATCCCTCTTAGTACACATTAGGCTGGATATGTTTGTTTCGGAAAAGAAACAATATGGTTCGGGCTGCTTGTTAAATTTGCGTTCAACTATCTGTCATTTTTCCTCCAACATCCGCCTGTAGGAGGACATGTCCGACCAAAAGCTATCTCCCCAGACCGCCTCGGGCAATGAACAAATCATGACGGAAGCTGTTTCCTAAGTGTTGACGCTTCGCGCATCCCCATCAGCCCATCCAGAAAGTGGGGGGGAGGAGGAATCGTCGGCGTCGTCGTAGGAGGAGGAGGAGGAAGAGAAGTAGGAGGAGGAGGTGGAGTAGGGCGAGGACGAGGAGGACGAGAAGGAGGAGAAGGAGGGAGAGTTGGGTACATCGGGGATCCTCTTGAGGCCTCGTATGGGGTTTCTTGGAGGCCTCTTGGGCGCCTCTTGGGGCCCTCCTGGGCCGCTCTTGGGAGCTTTAGGGGCGCTCTTGGGACCATCTTGGAAGACATCGATCAAACAAGAGGGGAGCGTCAATTAGCCTCCCCCCTCGGGAGCACCCAACATCGCCTCCTGGACCCCTCTTGGAGCGCTCTTGGGGCGCTTTTGGGCACTCTTGGGGCCGTCTTGGGTCTCTCTTGGGCTGGGGCCCTCTTGGGGCATATTGGGGCCATCTTGGGGCCTCGGATGGCCATCGGAAGCGAAAAGGCGAGACAACAGCCATCATTGATTTTGCTTGGGGTTTTGAAGGGTTCTGGCCTCTTGGGGAACTCCTTGGAGGTCTCGGAGGCCTCTGGGAGTCGTCTTGGACGGTTCTTGGGGCTTCTTGGAGCATCTTGAAACCATCATGAGGCATCATGCGCTATCTTGAGCCATCTTCGAGGTCATCTTGGGCTTTCCGAGGCCCTCTTGGAGCCGTCTTGGGCCATCTTGGACGCTCCAACTGCCCGCCGCCCCCCCCGTTCAGGTCCAGGGGAGGGGGCAGGGGGGAGGGCTCAAGCTACCCACCCTCCCGCAAGCCGTCTAGCTCACTCCTACCCGCCCTCCCAACACATAAGTAACACCCGAGCCTGCGCATGTTCAGCATTTGTCTTTGGATGGGCAACTGCTGGGAACCAACGCCGACCCCAGGTGCGCGACGCTTGGGCGGTGTGCGCCACTTGTGCCAGGGGCGCCACGCGCGCCAGGCACTCCTTGGGCCCGAGCGTGCCAGTCACGCCTGGTGCGCCAGATGCGCCACGTGCTCCGAGTGCGCCAGGGTTGCCGCACGCACACTCCAGCCGCGCCAGGTGGGCCACGTACGGGGCACGTGCAGAGTGTGTCAGGTGCGCCCGCGCACGTGACAGCACACATCGGGAAACATGTCGGCCCCACCAGCCTTGTCGAAAGTGAATTCCCATCATTGCGCTTGGTGGGTCTGAGCACAGCAGGCCACGCGCCACCACCCCCGCGGTCCCTGTCAAAAACCATTTGGCAGTGATCGCGGGATGGCCGCGCATGATCCAGATTTCGCCGCGAGGTGCATGTTGCATTGTTTGTTGTCAGGGATGGTAGCCCTGCGCGCAACAGGGAGTATGCTGACACCGCCGCCGCCCTTGTCAAAAACAATACGAAGTGCCCGCGGGCCTCCACATCGGGTTGGCCGCGCATGCTCCAAATGTGGAGGCACAGTGCAGTTTGTATGTTTTTGTTGACAGGGATGGTGGGGGGCGGATCGCCATGGTGTCCTCATGGTTCCTGGTTGGACGCTGGTCGCCTGGGTGTGTGTGTGTATATATTGACAAGACTCCCTCCCCGCCCGCAAGCCGTCTAGCTCACTCCCGCCTTCCCAACACATGCGTAGCACCAGAGCCTGGCCCGAGCCGCGGAATATTCAACAGTCGTCTTTGGATGGGCAGCTACTGGGGGCGAATCCGCCGCCACCGCCGCCGCCTCCGCCACCGCCGCCGTCGCCGCCCGCCGCCGCCGCCGCGCCGCCGCCGCCGCCGCCGCCGCTGTCTGCCGCCGCCGCCGCCGCGCCGCCCGCCGCCGCCGCGCCGCCGCCCCGCCGCCCCCTTTGCCAACTCGCCGCAGCCGCTGCCGCCGCAACCGCTGCCGCCACCGCCGCCGCCGCCGCCACCGCCGCCGCCGCGCCGCCGCCGCCGCCCCCGCCGCCATCGCCGCCGCCATCGCCGCCGCCACCGCCGCAGCCGCCGCAGCCGCTGCCCCCGCCGCAGCCGCCGCAGCCGCCGCCGCCGCCGCCAAGTGTTCTCCGTTTTTTTTTTTTTGACAGGGATGGTGGGGGAAGGCCGCATCGGGTTCGCTGCGCATGCTCCGTTTGGAGGCAGAGTGTGTTTTGTATGGTTTGTCACAAGGGATGGTGTTGGGGGCCCGCATTGTCCCTGGTTGGCTCCCAGTCGCCTGGGCGAGGGGGTGTATACTAAGAGGGAACAGTGATTAAGGAACAGTGGTTAACCGTTCCCCGATTCGGAAGAAGCCTCACTAGTTCGCATACGCCCAAAGGCTGGTGGGATTTTCAGTTTCAGCTTCTGGAGGCCCTTAGTGGCTTTCGGGACCGTCAACAAAATGATTCAGGACGGAACACTGGTCCAGGGGAATGGGTCGAGACATCTGAGGGTCGATGTTATGAAGAAATCATCACGTCGGGGGGCTGGGTCCGGAGCCCACGGAATGGAAGGGAACATCGCCGAAACGGAGGTTTGCAGCCCGGCAACCCCGCGGCCCCGCGCGGGCCGGCGGACGCCCGCGGTCATGGAGGCGTGTGGCGGAGCGCGCGCCGCCCGTGGCGCCCCGGTCCGGGGCGGGGCCCCCCGCCGCGGGGCCCTGGGCCCCTTTCGCTCCGATCTCCGACGCCGGCCACGAGGCTGGCGGCGGCGCCGACGCGAGGCACGCCGACGATGGCGACGGCCCCGGCGCACGCCGCACGCCGCACGCCGCACGCCGCACGCCGCGCGGTGACGCCGCACGCCAGCGGTGACGGCGACGCCGCACACGCTGGCGACGGCGCCGCGACCACGCGCCCGACGCCGTTTCTGGCAAGATAGTTGCGTACACAGTTCGAGCACAGTCAGAGCCCCGAATCATCAGGGCTGGGGTTGGTCAGGGATAGTTGCAGATCCGCGCCTCGGGGGCCCCAAACCAGAGTTGCCCCGGATCGCAGTTATCCCGGATAGCTCGGGCGTCCAGCCCTCCCAAACCATCAGGGTTGGGGGCAGTCAGGGGGACAGATCCGAGCCTCGGGGGCCCAAGTTACCCCAGAGAGCAGTCATCACGGATAATTCGGGCGTCCAACACAGGCGGGAGAGACGGGCTGGCAGCAGCAGCGCTTCCCCACCTCCGCAGCAATGTGCCTCAGAGGCCCCACAGAGGGCCGCGCCAGCAGCACATATTTTTGCACTGCCCACGCGTTGAGTCCAGGAAAAACGTCACCATGCGCCACGACCCGAGCCCGCGGGAGGAGCTTGGGCGACCGGTCTGCCTGTTGCCACTTGCGCTGGCACCGTCTGCACGAGCACGGGCGGACAAGCCCAGACCTCCGACGTCCCAGACATACAGCGTCTCGAAAGAGTCGATGCGGAAGGTTTTCTCGTGGATTTCGGCCTCTCGGGGACCTTACGGGGCCTCGGTGTTGTCAAAAAACGACTCGGTATGAAAAACCGTTCCCGAGGACGTGGTCGAGATGTCGGGTGCCCGTGTCTGATAGAAATCGAGACGTTGGATGTCGGGGTTTGTCGGGCGGGCCTGGAACCGAGGCAATTCCTCTCCAGAGCGCTCCAGAATGCTCTGAGACGGCCGCGGCGCCCGAGACATCCTGTTTGCCCGCTGGTCCTCAGAGATTTCCGATTCGGATCGGTCCGATTTTGTCTCGATGGTGCCGCCGTCTTTCTTTGTCTATACAGGCGATTACCTTTCTTGGGATCCTGGCGTCGCTTTGTTTTCGAGCCGGGCGTTTTCGGATCCGTTCGGGCCCCGGGACCCTCACAGATCGATCTGGGTCGGCAAACGGCGCATGAGGTTTGACGATGGGGCCCTTGGCTCCGGTCGTGACCTGTCGCGATGCTGCAACGATGCTCATCTCGGGGGCCCAACTCGCAGGCGCCTGCCCATTCGAGGGCAGGAGGGGCGGAGCACGAGAAGGGTTGAGGAGGAGGAGGAGGAGGAGGAGGAGGAGGAGGAGGAGGAGGAGGAGGAGGAGGAGGAGGAGGAGGAGGAGGAGGAGGAGGAGGAGGAGGAGGAGGAGAGGGAGGAGGAGGGGGGGGAGGAGCAGGAGGACCTCAGGGCTCCCAGACCTCCAACGTTTTGAGCACGTGCAGACGGAGGTTTCCGACGTGCTCGGCCTCTTGGGGGGCGGCCCTCCCCGTGCCCCCCCCCTGGGGCTGTCGAGGCAATGGCTCGGGGTGCAGCGCTGGCCCCACGCAGGGCTGGACCCAAGCGCTGTTTTTTGCTGGACTTCAGCTGGGTTTTGTCTTTCCTTTGCGCAGGGCGGTACAGGACAGCAGTCCGAGCAGAACGGAAACAGAGCGAAGCCAAAACGAAAAACAACGTTTGGGTCCAGCCCTGGGCCCAAGGGGGAAGGATCTCGGGACTTCTGGGGGCCGCGTCTTTCGCTCCTCCTCCTCCTCCTCCTCCTGCTCCTCCTCCTCCTCCTCGTCCTCCTCCTCCTCCTCCTCCTCCTCCTATCCTCCTCCTCCTCCTCCTCCTCCTCCTCCTCCTCCTCCTCCTCCTCCTCCTCCTCCTCCTCCTCCTCCTAGCTACGGTGTGATGGTAGAAAACCGGCCCATCACCACAGGAGTGGGCGGCCAAAGTCTGGGTTCGGGCCTCGGAGTCTCATCCAGGGGAGCTTCCTCTCGGCGAGGAGGGGGCAGCTGATGGATGGGGGCCCTGAAAGGTAAGCCTAGCCAACAAAATCTTCAACCATAGTCAAAACATGGTCGAACAATCGTCCCCAGACTTTTTATTCACCATTATTGAATAGTTCTCCTGCAGAGGGACATGCCCGACTTCAGCGTACGCACCGACCCGGATTTGGGTTATGTTGCTCCCACCGTACCACATCCCAGAAGTAATTTCGAGCGTCCAGGGAACTACCGAAACGGTGTCGAACGAGCATCGCCTCCCAGGGCCCGACACGTGAAAACCCTTCCCGTTCTGGCACTCTCTTGGTGCTCGAAGCTCTGTCTGGTGACCAGGGAGGTCGGGACACCGTGAGGTCTGGGGGGCCACGTCGTGGCCGGCGCGGGGTGCGCGGCGTGGCCTCTTGCGGGCTGGGCTTGGGCTCGGCGCCGCACACCACGTCGGCGCCGTCCTTGGCGATTCTGGTCTCTCGGGCCCTCCCTGGAGGGTTTCTCCGAAGGGCTTAGGCGACCCGTCCTCCTCCTCCTCCTCCTCGCCCATCTCCTCCTCCTCCTCCTTCTCCTCCTCGCCCATCTCCTCCTGCCCCTCCTCCTGCCCCTCCCCCTCCTCCTCGGGTCTCCTGCGGCCCTGGGGGCAGCCGTGCAGCCCCTCCCAGGGCGGCCCGCCGTCCGCGATGTGGGGGTCCCAGTCGGTGCGGGTCGCGGCGGGCGCACGGCGCGGCGGGCGCAGGTCGTCGGCGCGTCGGCGGCGGGTCGCGGTGCGACGGCGGCAAGCGGCGAGCCGAGGGGGGGGAAGGAGAAGGAGGAGGCCTTCTCAGCAGGCGGCGGGACTTCTCAAAAGCCCTCGCGCCCTCCGAGAAGTTTTTGTCCGTCTTCGGGGAAGGCTCGGAGAACTTCTCAGAAGGCCCGGGGGCTGCCGAGCCTTCTGAGAAGGCTTCCTCCTTGTCACTTTCCCCCAGGGCGCGCCGCCGATCAGTGGGGTGGCCGCACGGTCTTTGGACTCGGGCCGTTCTTCGAGGGCGTCTCGGGCGTCTGGGGTTGTGCTTGTTGTTATTATTACACGTATTAGTATCATTGTTATTATCATTAGTAGTCGTATCCATCATCATTATTATTAGTCTTGTTATTATTATTATTATTATTATAATTAGTAGTATTATTATTATTATTTTTATTATTATAAGTATTATTATTACTATTATTATTATAATTATTATTATTACTATTACTATTATTAGTATTACTATTATTATTAGTATTCTTATTAGTATTATTAATCTTATTATTGTTATTATTATTACTACTACTAGTACTATTATTCGTACTATTACTACTTTCGTGTTGATCTTATTCTTGTATTATTAGCATTATTGTCCGAGGCTCGAGAGCCCTGCGGCGACGGGGCGTGCGGTGAGGTCCTTGGGGATCTCGAGGTCTCCGCACGGTCTGTCGCCGCGCCTCTCTGGGGCCCCCGGGTCTTGGACTGTGCTGTGCTGCTGGAGCCCGCGGCTCGAGCGTCCCCTAAAGAGGGTGCGAGGGTCTCACGGAGCTCACCTGGGCTGGCGCCCGCCATACCACAGAGTTGGGTTGAGCCGCGATCGATGCCAATACATTTGGCAGCGCATGCTGATCGCTTGCTCCTAGATCCCTATGCTCGTGGCGTGGTGAGGCGTCCCCGTTTTGTCTGCTGCAGCTGCGCCATGGTCATGCTGTTGTTGGCCGTGGTGTCCGTGATGACGGGCAGCATGGACGTGAGTGAAGACGAAATGGCCTGGCGCGTGTTCGACGGGGACAACACGCAGTACTACGAGGCCTGGAGGAACGCGAACTGGCAGGCCATGGGCAGGCCTGACGGCTTCTACCGCCGCAGGCGACTCGAGGAGGACGGCCCGCCGGCCGCCCAGGAGGAGGGCGGCTTCGTTGACTCCAAGTTCTCTGGCGAGTGGTGGTCGCTCTCGTTCTTGTACAAGAGTGACGTGGGCGCATCGGAGACCGTGTTCACCCCAGAGCGCATCCAGGAGATGTGCCGCCTCGAGGCCCTAGTCGTCAGTGGTCTGCCCTCCACGTGGGCAGTCCGGGACTCGGCCGCGGAGCTCTTCTACGGCGGCGAGGCCGAGGGGTGCCAGCTGCTGAACCAGAGCACTGTGGACGCTCAAATCCTGGTGATGTACTTGGACATGGCCGCCCAGCGCGAGGCCTCCGAATTTGCGCGGTTCGTCCACCCGAGTTTCGTTACAAGCAACGTCAGCGCCTTCACCCGCACCGTCATGGAGGTCTACGGCGGCCCGGGGCGCTCGGCGGAGGACCACAAGATGGACCTCACGCAAGAGGTTCTCCTTCGGGACCTCGGTCTCGAGTACAGCTTCCTCAGCTCTGGGCTGACGGTCGACGAAGATTGCTTTCGCCAGTCGGGCCCGTTGAGGGTCAGGCTCTCATACGATGCCGACGAGATGGACTTCATGATCGTAGACGACTTCGTGCTGGCGTTCTGCGCGATTGTCATCGTGTTCGTCCTGGTGTACCTGTACCTGAACTCCGCCTTCCTCGCCGCAGTCACAATGTACCAGATCATACTGTCCATGCCGATCGCGACCCTTTTGTACCGGCAGGTGTTTCTGATCGACTATTTCTCTTTCATCCATGTGCTGACAGTGTATTTGGTCCTCGGCATCGGGGCGGACGACGTCTTTGTGCTGGTCGACGGGTTCCGCCACTTTGCAGAAGAAAAACCGATTGCGGCAGGCTGCTGCTACGGAGACGAGGAGCTCGTCAGCATCTTCAAGTCCACCATTGCCCGCAGCGGCCAGGCCATCTTCAATACGTCTTTCACCACCGCGGCCGCGTTCCTGTCGCAGTCGACTTCTAAGATCATGCCCATGAGAACGGGCGGTTACTACGCAGCCGTCTGCATCATCATGAATTTTGTCTTCACCAGTAGGGGAACGAATAATAACATAAACATGAAAACTCGGAGGTCCGCGCGGATTGCTCGGATCCGCGCTGGACCCTTTCCGTGGCGCGCGGAGCGCGCCAGGGGCGACGCCAGAGTCGCCGCCAGGGGGACAGCGCGGATCCGAGAAATCCGCGCGGACTTCCGAGTGTGTATGTGTATGTCACTCTTTGTGCCCCTGACCATGCTGTTCACACCGTCCGCACTGGTGGTGTACCACAGGCGCCTCGAGGGCAAGCGGTGCTGCTGCCCCAGCCCCGCGGCGCGTCCCGAGGACGCCGGGGTTGGCGCGCCGGGCGACCAGCCCGCCGCCGCAGGCGGCGCCCAACCACTCGCGAAGGTCAGCAGGTGCAGGACTCATTTCGATTCCTCCGATTCGATTCGATTCGATTCGATGTTGGTGGTTTCCGATTCCGATTTGATTCGACTCTCGATTCCGATTTGGGCTCCGATTGCTGAATGGAAGCCTACAAGCCCGCCGTTTTCCGTCGATTCGACTCTGCCGATTTCTGCCGATCGGACTCATTCCGATCGCCGATCCGGCTTATCGAATCGATTCTGGGCTCTCCTGCAGGTGCAGTGCCAACGCGTGCTTCGATGCGTTCTTAGGCAAGTTCTACATCCCGATGATGCGCAAGCAGGTCGGGGGCGTCCGCATATTTGCCCTGGGGATCGCCGCCATCGTGCTCGCGATGGCAGCCCACGGCGTCTATTTCACGCTGCAGCTGACGCCGCCGACGGAGCCTGAGCAGTGGTTCCCCAAGAGCCACATGCACTTCGATGTCGCAAAGTTCTGGTCGAATACCTTCTACGAGGCAGACTACGCAAAGAACGGTGTAATATCCTTTGTGTGGGGCATCAAGGGGGCTGACTTCACCGACTTCGACGTCTACTGGCCTTCCAGGACCCCTCCGACGGCCCAGTTCGACCTCGCCTTCGACGTCACCACCGCGGAGGCACACGCCGAGATTCTCGCGGTCTGCGCCGAGATGCAGACGCTCAAGTGCGAGCTGGAAGGCTGCGCCGGCTACGGGGACACCTTGATGATAAGCTCCTCGCAGAAGGCCTATTCGTGCTTCCTCGAGGACCTGATGGACTGGCGGGCGAACCGGACAGGCGTCAGCCAGCCCCTGCCCACTGGCGACGCTTTCATCCAGGAGCTGCGGGACTTCGTCGCAGAGGACCCCTCGGAGTTGTATTCCTCCCCGGTGTGCGAGGCGGACTACAGCACCGACATCGGGTTCATCGATGGGGAGTTGAGGTACGTGTCCGTCAAGATTCGGGGGCGCACGGCCGAAGACATGCCGTACTCCGCCGGCATCAAGGTCCATGACCTCATCCAGGAGTTCGTGGACCGGCGGAAGGCCGGCGCGCCCGTTGGGTTGAAGAGCATGTTCATGGTCTGCGACGGCCTGTTCTCCTTTTACGACCTGTCCGAGGGCCTGCTGAACGGCTTCATGTCCGGTATATCCATTGCGTTTCCGCTGTCATTCCTCGTGTTGTTGCTGTCGACCTGGAACTTTCTGATCGCCCTCTACGCGGTTATCTGCGTAGGCGGCATTGTGGTCTCGGTGCTCGGCTTCTGCAAGAGCATCATGGGTTGGGACCTGGGTATCGGCGAGGCCATCGCTGGCGTCATCGTCATCGGCTACGCGGTGGACTACGTGGTCCACCTCGCGCACATCTACTGCGAGGCGAGGGCATACGGTCATGAGACTAGGGACGCCCGGGCGAACTTCGCGGTGAAGAACATGGGCTCCACTATCTTCGCTGGCGCAGTGACGACTGCTGGCGCAGGAGCTGTCATGTTCTTCTGCTACTTCACCTTCTTCGTCAAGATGGCGACGCTGATATGCCTGACGATCATGTTTTCGTTCGTGTACTCCATGGGTCTCTTCGTGGCCGTTCTCTGGCTGGCCGGGCCAGAGGTCGTGCCGCACGAAAGGGTAGAATAGGGAAAGGGGGGGTACGACATCTGCTGCATGCAGCCAGTGTCCGCCCCGCCGCAGCGCCCATCCCTCGATACATGGGCGCCAGGAAAACCGGCCACAGGAGCTGCTTCTCTGCCCCACAGACGGCCCTGATTAGTAGGTCGACCCTGCCAAATCAAGGGTACCCTTTTGTTTTGTCCTGTGCCTCGCGACCCATGCCTTCTTACACCTATGGCAATGTGGCCCTCGGAAGGGTCTGGTGTCCTCTCGCATGTCCTCTCCAACCATCGGGGGTTGCTATAGGTGCCCCTGGCCCATGGCGCCCCCGGCTTTTCGCTCAATTATGGAGCCTCCTGGGGCCCTCTGGGCCTCGTGAGGGTGCTCTGGAGGCCGTGGGGGCCCCCTTGGACATCCTGGGGGCACCTTGGGCCAGGGGCACTTCTAGCAACACCCGATATTAAGCTCAACGGGGCCCTCGGGACCCTCCTCCTCCTCCTCCTCCTCCTCCTCCTGCTCCTCCTCCTCCCCCCCACCCCCCAATACCCCCTCCTGCTGCTCCTCCTCCTCCTCCTCATCATCATCATCATCATCATCTTCCTTCCTCCTCCTCCCTCCTCCTCCTCCTCCTCCTCCTCCTCCTCCTCCTCCTCCTCCTCCTCCTCCTCCCTCGACTGTGCCCCTTTGCTGTCCTACCCCCGTTCGCCCCCCCCCCCCCCCCCCCCCCCCCGCAGAGGGCACGCGCGGCGACCTGCGCTGCTCCCGGACTGCGGATGCCGCCCCCGGGCCAGTCGAGGGCAAGGTTCTCGGGAACGGCGACCTCGCACCCGAGGCCACGTCCCTCGAGTACTGGGATGGGCGCGGGGGTCGCCCTGGAGGGTTTCTCCGAAGGGCTTAGGCGGCCCGTCCTCCTCCATCTTCTCCTCCTCCTCCTCCTCCTCCTCCTCCTCCTCTCCTCCTCCTCCTCTCCTTCCTCCTGCTCCCCCTCCTCCTCCCCCTCCTCCTCCTCCCCCTCCTCCTACTCCCCCTCCTCCCTCCTCCTCCTCCTCCTCCTCCTCCTCCTCCTCCTCCTCCTCCCTCCTCCTCCTCCTCCCCCTCCTCCTCCTCCTCCTCCTCCTCCTCCTCCTCCTCCTCCTCCTCCTCCTCCTCCTCCTCCTCCTCCTCTTGCTCGCCCTCCTCCTCTTCGCCCTCCCCTCCTTGGGTCGCCCACGGCCCTGGGGGAAGCCGTCCAGGTCGCCCAGAGGATAGGGGGGTCATCAGTGGATGCGAAGGTGGGCTATGTCTGGCCTAACCCAGCTCATTAGTTCTAGGCCTCCCAGATGGGGTCCGAGCAGATGGGGTTGGAGGATCGCCGATGCGGCGCGATGCGGGGCCCGATTTCCTCCACGCCGACATCGCCGATGCATCATCCACGTCGACGATGCATCGCCGATGCATCGCCGATGGATCGCCGATGTATCGATGGTGCGGCGCGATCCTCCGACCCCATCTACTCCGACCCCATCTAGGAGGCCTCGACACCTAGCTCATCAGTTGGCTGCTAATGCCCCAAGTGGCTTGGGTGGGGGGCAGCGATTCAGGCTAAGCGGGCTCCGCCCACTTAGCGGAGTTGTCCAATCCCCTTTATGACACTTGGGGCATGTGTAACGCACTTATATGACAGGTTAGGCCAGGTATCACCCAGTTGGCGTCCACTGATACCCCCCTATCCCCTTAGCAACCCCCGCGCGAATTCCAGTAGGGAAACTACAGAATGGATTTACCCCCAAATCGGTTTCCCGCTAAACCAGCGAGAAAATACAGCGGAAGTCCCTGTCAAGAAGCACCTTGCTCGCCTCCAGGGTGCCCTGGGCTTCTTGGGTTTCGACGGTTTTCTTGGGGAAAGCCTGACGTTCCCACACTTACCATCCATGAACGCCCTGGGGTCTCGGGGTTGTGCTTCTTGTGGAAGGTTTCTTGTGGTCGAGCTCCTGCTGTACCCTTAAGTCTGCTCTCGTCCAATCTGTGAGAGAAGACGCAGACTGCTCCGTGGATCTGCGGAACACTCTACGTGTCTTGTGAGATTTGAAGGGAGAAACAACCTTGGGGTAAATCAATTCTGCAGTCAATCCCCTACTCGCACGGCCCAGGCGAACGAGGTCACGGCCACGGCGCCTGGGCCCGCGGCGGCGCCGGCGCGGACCGTGGAGAGCCTGTAGGTCGCGGAGCGCATCTCGAAGAGATTCAGACGTGGGCTCTTCCTCTTTTTCGGCCTCTCGCGGCCCCCTGGCTGGGTCTCGGGACCGTGAAAGAACGACTCGGGAGGACAAGCCGGTCCCAGGGAAGTGGTCGAGAGGTCGGGGGCCTGGGGCCTGGGGCCTGGGCCTGCAAGTCGCGGAGCGGCCCTCTCCCATCGAAGGATGACAAACAGCATACGGCCAGACCAAGGGCAGAATGACATCCTTCAGGAGCACGAGACCCTCCACCGGCCCAAGCTGAAGGGCAGTCGAGAGTACCCTCCCCCAGGATGCACGAGAACACCCAGCAAGCACGAAAAACATGAGGCCCACCCCGAACCGACCTCGATCTTATACCTCGGTCCGGCCGTAAACATAGTTGTTCGACGTCCCGCGCGGATTTCTGGGATTTGCGCTGGCCTCCTCCCTGGCGGTGCCTCCGGCACAGCCCCTGGCGCGCTCCGCGCGCCAGGGAGGGGATCCAGCGCAGATCCAAGAAATCCGCCCAGGGCACCGAAAGCTTATGTTTATTATGTTTTTTATTGTTCTATTCCAGTCCGCGCCTGGGCCGAGGTGATTTTCCGCACGAGCTGGACGTATGCCAGTTCCAGCTTGGGCCACCTTGGCAGATGTTGGCTTCGTGCTGTCGGTGGAGGGCGTTTCGCAGTGGAGTGAGCAGGGCGCGGTACTAGCTGCTTTCAGCCGCGCCAGATCTTGCTGCTGCGGAGTGGGGCGTGTCACCAGGGCACGGTCACCGCCACGCTCCACGAGGAAGGAACTAGTTTTCGCGAGCCACGTCTCACGCCGTCAGTCCTTCGACTGTTGCCCCCAAAGCGGGTGTTCCCACCACACGGATATCTGCCCAAGCTTAGGCAGTCCTCCAATATTGCGTTGGAAGGATGGTAGCGCGAGGCCTCTGGCGCAGGTGGAGCCAAGCCACGGGCGATGGAACAACATTTCGCAGCCCGATGGCCAACCGGGCCGCCATTGTTGGTTGTTGCGCGTAGTAGCTGGGCCGCTCGACTTCCTCCTGAGCCTCCTCCTTTCCTCCTCCTCCTCATCCTCTCCTTTCCCTCCTCCTCCTCCTCCTGCTCCTCCTTCTCCCTCCCCTTCCTCCCTGGTCCGCTGTTACAGGGGCCTCGCCGGCGTTTGCGCTGCTACATCGTGCGTTGCGCTGTGGTGAGGAAATTGGTGGTCCGCTGCTACATCGTGGAGTCCCCGTCCCATCCGTGGCCAGCACGGTGGCCAGCACACTGCTATATCGGCAGCACGGTGGCCAGCACAAGCGATGGGATGACGATTTGCGCAAGTTCCTACACAATGTGCATCGACAGACAGGCGACGATGACACACAACGCGACGCCAACGACGACGCCACCCAACCACGACGATACCTCCACCGCGACACCAACGATGTAAGGTGGCTCACAGCTGCGACACGGACGGCATGGTGGAACTCACTCGGGAGAGCCTTTGTCGCTGCATGATTCTAGCCATGCAGCACTGAAGGCCGACCACGCGACCACACGTACCGACCACCAACAACCAAGCTTTACAACACCGACTACCGGCGCCTTGCACCAACACCAACACCAAACCCAGCACAGACGACCAACACAGACTCTACCCAGCGACGTGGCACCAACACTCCACGACATCGACTACACGGATTCCTCCCCCTCCTCCCCTCCCCTCCGTTTCACATAATTTGTTACATATCTCGCATGCAAGCCTCACCATACACAACACTATTTCAGAGGCCACGGCCTCATTCACCTGGTCTCCAGTAGGCCCGGATTGCTGTCCGCATTGGTGGTCGTTCGTTCGTTCTGTCCCATCAGTTGAGAAGCAAGCAATTGGCAGGATGGTTTGACGAAAGTCTCTTGCTCTCCGACGGCTCCAGGGACTCACATGAGCCCTCAGACACACTTCGGCAGCTGGCCAGATCAACGAGCCAGGAGCTCCAAGAGTTCTGCCACCCGCCATCCTTCCAGGCGCACAGTCGGGAACTTTTTGCTCAGCGTGTCGCGCCGCCGGGTCGGGCACACTTCGCCGGGGCAGGACACGCCAACCACGGCCCAGCCCCCGAATGTCAGCTCGGCGGCGGGCGAGGGGGGGAAGTGAGAAGGAGAAGGCATGTTCAGAAGCGGCGGGACTTCTCAGAAGCCCTCGTGCATTCTGAGAGGTTCTCTGCGACTTTCGGGGAGGCTTACAAGACTCCACCGGGGAACCTCCGAGCCTTCTGAGAAGGCAAGCCCCTTCTCCCTTCTCACTCCCCCCCGAGCGCGCCGCCGATCAACGTCCGAAGGTTTGGAAGCCTCCCGCCCCGCGAAGCGGAGTGGCACGCCACCCGCCCGCAGGGCACGATCGCGTGCGTCGCCGGGGCCGCCGCCGCGACGCGCGGAGCCATGGCGACCCTGACCGCACGCAGGGGCCAAGGCCCGAAGCTCATCGAGGGCAGGCACCGCTTGGGGGGCGCGTAACGGGGGGGCGGTACATCCAGACCCCCTGGCGTTGTGAGAGTTCACGACGGGAGGCTTTCTGTTACTTTCGGCCTCCAGGGGCCTTCGCCGGGCAACGGGACTGTCAAACAACGATTCAGGATGAAAAACGGGTCCCCGGGAAGGGGTTCCAGGCTCCTGGGGTCACGTCATGGACCACGAAAGTGATCCCGACGTCGGGAGTCTGGCAATGGGGGGGGGGGGGGCAGCGAGGGCCACAGAAAAGGGCCCCAATGCTCCAAGGGTGGGCCTTTCGGGCCCGAGGAGGGCACCTTTCCCCCCCCCCTCCTCCTGTATCTCCACGCCTCCTAGATGGGCTCGGAGGATCGCGCCGCATCGCCGATGCATCGACGATGCGGTTCGATGTGGAGCCCGGTTTTCCCTACGCCGACTTCGCGGACGCGTCGCCGATGTCGACGTTGCCTCGTCGCCCGTGCATCGCCGATGCATCGCCAATGCATCGCCGATGTATCGGCGATGCGGCGCGATCCTCCGTCCCCAACTACTCCGATCCAATCTATGAGGCCTCTGGTATCGCTTCCCCACTAGTTCGCGCCCGAACGGGACCACCGACGGTGTGGCACGGCGCCCATCCCAGCAAGAAAGTGGTCCAGACTTCCGGGGCCACACATCGAACAAACCAGAGCAAACGGATGCCTGTGATGTTAGCATTCGAGTGTGCTGGTGCAGTCCGCAGTCAGTTTTGCTGATCGACGTGCGGTTCGTCGGTTACAGTCGTTCTGTTTTGACGTCGGCTAGCTGCTGGCTACCCCGCTGGGGTCCGTTCGGCAGGCAGTGCTGTGCGGGCAGGGAGGTTTCAAGAGAGCAGTTTTTTGCTCAAGGGGTTGCTGTCCACCCCCGAGGGTGGGGAGACCAAGGGGTAATCACCGATCCCGCTACTCCCTGGAGCTCCCCCTGGGGGTGCGCTCCGACCGGCATTTCGGGGCGAATCTGGTGGTGGGCACAGGTGGCCTCCCGGGAGGCCCAGAAATCGGGCGTGGGACCGGCTACAGAGTGGATGGATCCCAGAGCCGGAACCCGTCACAAAAACGGCGACGGAACGGGTAGACAACGGCGTCGGACCCCGCAACAAAAGCGGCAAAACGGAACCGGCAAGAGAACGGCCCTGTCGTCTCCAGGGCCCCCCGGGGCCTCGCGACCTCGTCCCCCGCCGCTCCCCGTGGGCCCCTCGGGCTGCAGCTCCGACGTGCGCCCGGCCGCGCGCGGGCCCCGCGCGCGGGGCACGGCGCGGCGCCCCGCCGCAGGCGCGGGTGCGGTGGCCGGGCCAGTCGCGGAAGGCGAGAGGCCGGCGCGCCTGCCCTGTCAGCCGCGCGCGCGCCGGTCGGGCACCCAGCGGTGTGTGTGTGTGCTTCTCCTCGTCGGTCTCCTCCTCCTCCTCCGTCTCCTCTCGTCCTCCTCCTCCTCCTCCTCCTCCTCCTCCCTTCTCCTCCTCACTTCTCCTCCTCACTTCTCCCCCGACCTGGCCTCATCCCCCTCCGTGTTGCTGGGACCCCCCTGTCGGGGGGACCCGGGACCCGAGTGTGCGTGAGTGCGTGTCTTGGCGTCGCTTGGACTTGTGCATTCTTTCCTCGGCGAGGACCATCGAGGAGCATCTTGACCATCCTGCGAAAAAGAAACGCACGAAATCGAACAATGCATTAAACGTCCGAGCGATGGTGTGTGTGTGTGCGTGCGTGCGTGTGTGCGTGCGTATGTGCGTGCGTGCGTGCGTGCGTGCGTGCGTCTGTTTGTTTGTATTGGTGTGTTTGTGTTTGTGTGGGCGTGCGTGTATGTGTGTGTGTTTGTGGGTGTTTGTGTGTGTGTGTGTGTTTGTGTTTGTGTGTGTGTCTGTGTGTGTGCGCGCGTGCGTGCGTGCGTGCGTGCGTGCGTGCGTGTGTGTGTGTGTGTTTGTGTGTGTGTGTGTGTGCCAACGTGCGTGCAAGCGTGCGTGCGTGCGTGCGTGCTGCGTGTGTGCGTGTGTGTGTGTGTGTGTGTGAGTGTTTATGTGTGCGCACGCGCGCGCGTGCGTATGCGTATCCGTATGCGTGTGTTCGTTGTTTGTTGTTGTTGGTGTGTGTGGTTGTGCGTTTGTGACCTGGTTGACCGTCTATAGTCGGATTCTTAGCCCCCACGCCGTGATCTGGCCCTGCCGCGCGCGATCTCCCTTTTGGCCGCAGTACGGCGTGCCGCCGCTAGCTTCGGAGGTGGGGCGGCCGATCCCTGGCCAAGCTGGTAAGGCAGTGTATGCACCGATCCTGGGCCCAGCCAGGATCGGCACGCTCGGCGTCTACACAACATGACTCGAGCACGCGATCGCTCTCTGGTTCTGGTCCTCTTCGGATCCTGGTGCCACTCGACCCCCACCTCTGGGGTCTCCTCCTTTCCCTTTCGCCTCCGTGCTCCTCCTTCTCGTCGTTGCCTCGTCCTCCTCCTCCACGCCCCAGCGACGCGGGCGTCTCATTCCTCTTGCCCTTCCCTCGCGCTTCCGCCTCAGCGTGCTCTTCCCTTCTCTCATCCTTCCTTCCTGCCGCCCTTTCCCCCCCCCTCCCACCCTCCTCGTCGCATCCCCTCCCGTCCCCCTATCCGCCCCCGTCCCTTTCCTTCCTCGGCACCCACCCCCCTCCGTCTCCCTCGCTTGCTGTGCTGAGATGATTTGGTTCCCGACAAATCCTAAAGTGTAGTGCAAGCAGCACAGCGGCCTCGAGTGCCATGCAGAATTGGACCGAACCCGACTAGAGTGCTAGTCAAGGTGGGTCCATTTATAGTGGGAGTTTATGAACACTGAACAGAATCCTAACATCATTCAAGTAGGGCTGGATCCAGTCATACATGTGTAGTCTTTTTGAGTTGGACCGATCAAGCGTGCGATTATCTCAGAGGTGGATGGGGCCCGGCTAGGATGCTAATGAAGCTAGACCTAGCTGTAATATGACTCTATTACAGCTGGTTCGAACACTACTACGATGCTATGGTTCACGCTTCGACAATCCCCATGAGAGTTGACGGGGAAAGGGCGAAGAGACCTAAATTGTGAAACAAAGCGGGCAACGAGGGTGGGGGCAAGGGGTTGGCCATGGAGGGCCTCCTCCTCCTCCTCCGCCCATCACCCCCGTCCTGTGTGGGTGATGGGCGGAGGAGGAGGAGGAGGAGGAGGAGGAGGAGGAGGAGGAGGAGGAGGACGACGACGGTCACCACCACGACGACGAGGAAGAGTAGGAAAAGGAGATGGACGACGAAGAGGAGGTAACGCGGGCGAGGAAGAGGAGGAGGAGGAGGAGGAGGAGGAGAAGAAGGAGGAGAAGGACAACGACAGAGCCGTCAAACTCGCCTCTTGGAGCACCATTGGGATTCTGTTGGTGGACATTGAGGTCCTCATTGGACTCGTTTGGGGGGTCTTGGGGCCCTCTTGGGGCTCTCTTGGCCCTCTTGGGGCTCTCTCGGTGGCCTGTTGGGTGCCCTGGCGGGCCTCTTGGGGCTATCGTACAAGAAGTCGGTGAACAGAGAGGGGTAGTAACGTATGGACCCCCCTCCCCCGGGCAATCAACATCGCCTCTTGGGGCCCTGTTGGGGCGATCTTGGGCCGTTCCTGTCCGCTCTTGGCGCCGTCTGGGGGGCCTCTTGGGCCCCTTATGGGCATCTCTTGGACCATCTTGGGGCCATCGTCAGGCTTCGAAGCAGGCGGAAAACGACTCCATTTCTGCAGACGCGCTTGCGGGCGGCACGGGCGGCCCCAAGACGGTCCGCAAGATGGTCCAAAAGAGCCACGAGGCGCCAGCAGGTCGATCCAGGCCGTCCAAGATGCCTTCCTGACGGCCCAGGGAGCCACCAAGACGCCCCGGAAGGCCTCCAAGAGGTCCCTCCAAGAGACCCCCAAGAGTGACAAAATGTAACTGTTCCGTTAGTGTTTCAAGGTTTCTCGCGTTTCCGTTTTTTCGGCTTCCGACGCTCCAAGGTCGGCCCAAGAGGCCCCAAAGATCGCCCTAAAACGGCTCAAAAGGCCTTCAGAAGGGCACCCAGATGGCCCAAGACGCCCCCAAGACGGCCCAAGAGGCCTCCAAGACGCCCTGAGAAGGCCCCAGGAACGCCCCAAGAGGGGCCCCAGAGGGGGGGCAGGAATCGACATTTTGGGCTCTCCGGCCAAAGAACTCCCCAGGAGGTCTCAAGAGGCCCCCGAGAGGCCCCACGTAGCTTCCAAGGGGTTTCCGGGAAGCCCCCGGAGGGCGCAGATGTTTTTCGCCCGGGTTGGTGCGTTTCGCCCGGTTCGTTTCGCCCATGTTTTCGCCCGGGTTGGTTTTCGCCGGGTTGACTTTCGCCCGGGTTGGCTTTCGCCCGGGTTGGCTTCCGCCCGGGTTGGCTTTCGCACAATTGGCTTTCGCCCGGGTTGGCTTTCGCCGAGGTTGGCTTGCGTCCGGGTTGCCTGTCGCCTGGGCTCGTTTTCGCATGGGTGCCCGCGTCCATCAGGAGCGCGGGCGACGGGCATGGATGATCCCGGGAGATGGCCGCGGGCCGGAGGAGGACAGCTAGGAAAGGCAAGACCGCGAGGGGAACGGAGGAGTGCAGGAGGGGAATGGGAGGACGGGGAGTCGTCGTCGTAGTAGTCGTCGTCCTCTTCGTTGTCGTAGTCGTCGTCGTCGTCGTCGACGTCGTCGTCGTTGTCGTCGTTGTGTTATTGTCGTGGTGGTGGTCGTCGTCGTTGTCTTAGCCGTTGTCGTCGTCGCCGTACTCGCCGTTGTCGCTGTCGTCGTCGTCCTCCTGGTCGCCGTCGTTGCCGTCGTCCTCGTCGAGGTCGTTGTCGTCGTAGTGGTCCCGCCCGTCAGGGTCCGCCCGCCCGACCCGACCCGTCCGTTAAAGTTCACGCGTGCTGAGTCGAGCGCGCCCCACACTTCAGTGCCCCGCCTGCCATACCCGACCCGCGTGATAGGGTGCGCCCGACCCGACCCGACCCGTCCCGCCCGTTCGGGTCCGCCCGCCCGACCAGACCCGCCCGTTAGGGTTCACGTGTGCCCTTTCGAGCGTGCCCCACACTTTAGTGTCCCGCCCGCCCGACCCGACCCGCCCGTTAGGGTCCGCCCGACCCGACCCGACCCATCCCGCCCGTCAGGGTCCGACCGACCCGACCCAACCTGCCAGTTGAAGTTCACGCATGCTCGCTCCGGCGTGCCCCACACTTTAGTGCCACGCCCGCCCCACCCGACCCGCGTGTTAGGGTCCGCCAGACCCCACCCGACCAATCCTGCCCGTTATGGTCCGCCCGCCAGACCGGACCCGCCCGTTAGGGTTCACGCGCGCGCGCCTCATTTTTAGTGTCCCGCCCGCCCGACCCGACCCGCCCGTTAGGGTCCGCCCAACCCGACCCGACCCGTCCCGCCCGTTAGGGTCCGCCCGACCCCGACCCGACCCGCTTTTTAAAGTTCACGCGTGCTCGTTCCGGCGTGCCCAACACTTTAGTGTCCCGCCCGCCCGACCCGATGATCCGCCCGTTCGGGTCCGCCCGACCCGACCCGACCCGTCCCGCCCATTAGGGTCCGCCTGCCCCACCCGACCCGCCCGTTAGGGTTCACGCGTGTCGCTCGGGCGTGACCCACACTTTAGTGCCCCGCCCGCCTGACCCGACCCGCCCGTTCGGGTCTGCGCGGCCCGACCCGACCCGACCCGCCCGTTAGGGCTCACGCGTGTCCCGCCCGTCCGACCCGACCCGCCCGCTAGGGTTTGCTCGACCCGACCCGATCCGCCCCGCCCGTCGGGGTCCGCCCGCCCGACCCGGCCCGCCCGTTCGGGTTCGCGCGTGCTCATTCGAGCGCGCCCAACACTTTAGTGTCCGCCCGACCCGACCCGACCCGACCCGACCCGTCCCGCCCATTAGGGTCCGCCTGCCCCACCCGACCCGCCCGTTAGGGTTCACGCGTGTCGCTCGGGCGTGACCCACACTTTAGTGCCCCGCCCGCCTGACCCGACCCGCCCGTTCGGGTCTGCGCGGCCCGACCCGACCCGACCCGCCCGTTAGGGCTCACGCGTGTCCCGCCCGTCCGACCCGACCCGCCCGCTAGGGTTTGCTCGACCCGACCCGATCCGCCCCGCCCGTCGGGGTCCGCCCGCCCGACCCGGCCCGCCCGTTCGGGTTCACGCGTGCTCATTCGAGCGCGCCCAACACTTTAGTGTCCGCCCGACCCGACCCGACCCGACCCGACCCGTCCCGCCCATTAGGGTCCGCCTGCCCCACCCGACCCGCCCGTTAGGGTTCACGCGTGTCGCTCGGGCGTGACCCACACTTTAGTGCCCCGCCCGCCTGACCCGACCCGCCCGTT